TGTGTGTGTGTGAGTATGTCGGAGTTGGGGGTTATGTGAGCCATATTGTTAACGTGTTTGTAATATGGTGCATATGACACAGACCATTTAGAAGATGGATGTCACCACAGCATGGGGAAGGCCGTGGAGGTACTGACCCATGATCCAAGATAGATGATATGGATAGATGTAAAAGACAGACAGCATTCCAGCCATAATTATGTGTCATTGTGTTCTTTGTTTTAATGCCATTCTGTGTTAATGGCCTGTTATTGCTAATCATGTATATTTTACTTTAATGTATTTTACAAACTACTGTTGTACATGTATAGCCTAAGACAGACAGGATCGTATATATATATATATATATGTGTATGAATGTGTGTTATGCATTTGTCTCCGTCATGAGAGCCTGCTGCCACAGCTGACAATTAATTTGTCTCCTACTGAGAACATCATCCAAAGAGAAAATTATTTATTCACTGACTAGCTGAGTCAGTTGTGTGTTAAGGAAGGCAGGCTGTCAGCAGTTGTGCATGTTTCTGATGAAAAAAATGTGTTTCTGTGTATGTTTAGACGACCTTTGCTGCTATGTGAGGAGAGGAGAGATTTGGTCCAGTGTTAATACTGTCCACAGTAATGAGTGATCAATAAACACAAGAATGACTCACTCTACCAGGAGTTTGTGTCTTCTGTGTTTGTGTAAATGCACGCACGCACACACACACACACACTGGTTTCCATTTTCATGGGGACATGCCATAAACGTAATGGTTTTTATTTTCTATCCCCTTACCCCCTAAACCTACCCCTCACACAAAACATTTATAGAATTTCAAAAAACTTAAATCTGTATGATTTATAAGCTTGTTTCCTCATGGGGACCAAATAGATGTCCCACAAAGTCAAAATTTACTGGTATTACTGTAATTGTGGGGGTATTTGGTCCTGTAACGTATGGAACCAGGACACACGCATACAATTTTTTTTTAGACCCCTTACTTTTCTCACATTCTTACCTTGCTTATTAAAAAAAAATAAAAAAATCTAATAAATCTACACTCCATACCCCATAATGAAAAAGCAAAAGAAAAAAAAAACAGTTTTGTGATACCTTTACAAATGTAAGTAAAAAGAAAAGAAGAAAAATAAAATTTTTAATTGACATAAACAAGTATTAGTAAAGCTTTTTACATCATACCCAAAAAGTGCCATCGAAGTACTGAGTTATGGGTCTGAATGTTTTTGTTCTTCTCTTTTTTCCTTTTTTTCCTCTTTTTTAATAAGATTGGAAATTTATAGTGGAAATCTGGGCCCGTATTCACAAAACATTTTATCTTACCACTA